CAGGCTACATTGAGGAGCCACCACTCTGGGACACGAGGCAGAACTGCTATAACTCTGTCTCCTCTCTGCAAACCACATGCCTCAGAAAGTACATTGGCTGCCTTCCTAGAGAGAAATCCCAGCTCTTCAAAGCTCCACTTCACCTCCTCTCCCTCCTCATTTACCCACCAAAAAGCTGGATTTGCTGGTTTTCTTCCATCCTAGAACACAACAGAAGATATTCAAGTAAGAAGTCAAAGCTTAAAAGGTTTCATTTCAAAATAAAATAACCCCAGACAAGGCACATCCTCCCTGGTGACTAGTCTCAAAGTGATACCTCTATTTCTGACAAGCAAAACAAAATGGTGCATTCCACTCTGCAGCTGATCTATCCAGTATCCATCAGGAAAACTGATTTGTATCATCTGAGACCTGTTCCAATGTGTCCTGGTTTTGGCTGGGGTAGAGTCAATTTTCTTCCTAACCACTGATAAAGTGCTGTGCTTTTTGGATTTGGGATGAGAATAATGTTGATAACACACTGATGTTTTAGTGGTTGCTAAGCAGTGCTTACTCTAAGTCAAGGACTTTTCCATTTCCCACGCTCTGCTGACAAGGAGTTGCACAAGGAGCTGGGAGGGAGCACAGCCAGGACAGCTGACCCAGCCTGCCCAGAGGGGTATTGGACAGCATAGAATGTCCTGCTCAGTATAACCTGGGGGGAAGTTGGTCTGGAGGTGCCAATCACTGTGTGGGCACTGTCTGGGGGTGGTGAGCAATTTTGTTGTGCATCACTTGACTTTCTTGGGTTTTCTTTCTGTCTCTCTGCCTGTTGTCTCTGTTGTCTCTTTTCATCACTACTACTACTGCTATGATGATGATTATTATTACTATTATTATATGTTAATTTATTTCAATCACTAAACTGTTCTTACCTCAACCTACGGGTTTTACCTTTTCCTGATCCTCCTCCCCATCCCCCTGGGGGGGTGTGCCTGTGTGTGTTCATGTGATCCAGTAGCTCTGTGGTACTTGGTTGCTGGCTGGGATTAAACTACAACACAATGTTTATAAAGCAAAATTAAAATACTACCTTTTCCAGTTGTGACCACTCATCTAAGACATCACTTGCAAAGTTGAAATATTTTGGCAGTTCCTTTTTATACTGGTGTATTGCTTCATAATGGGAAATAATCTGAGATGTCAGAAGCCTGTTGTATCCATGGAATGATCTGCAAGGCGACCTGAGAATCTGCAGACACCGAGGAATCCATGATTTAATAAACATTCTCATGATAAATGATGTTTTATCAGACAGTGGGGGAAAAAATCAGGACTACAGCTAAGGAATCAGTCACCTGAAATGAAAGAAAACACATTTAAAACTAGCCAGGTATAGGACACTGTGTTGATTTTTATATTGGATAAATTAATGCAAACCAGCTTGAATAAACAGGTTGTTTGTTCACATCCTCATTTTGAGATATGCTATCTGTATTGTCATCATGTGAATATTTACTATTACAGTATGCACAAGGGATAAGCACAATCATTTTGAGGTTAAATCAAAATGTGGACTATAGAAAAAATTAGCAGAATTGTTGTTATGAATCCTGCAACAACAACCACCAGCCAACCAACCAAATCTAGAGAGTATTCAAAGACAATCCAGTTCTGAATTGATGGGTAATTCACTGAAGTCACTTAGGGAAGGTGTTCTGACCTGCTTAGATGTGGAGGTAAACCAGGTTCTAAAACACTCCCATAAGTGAGATTAAGGCACAAACTAGGCCAGAGGCTGGATTCCAAAACGATAATTCAACTTTATTTTGTAACACAAAAGAGCGGAGAGAAAGGAGGAGGATAGGAAAGCCGGGAAAAGCTAAGGGTGACTGTTAAAAGCACAGCACAGGAGTTACCACCACCACGAAGTGCTTCTCCCTGGGTTGTGTTGCAGCCTCTGATGAGGGAACAGGCAGGCAGAGTAAAACAGTGGCACCAGCCCCCTCAGCAGGCCCTGGTACGACCCTGGGCACCGCCCTAAAGAGCCTCACCAGTAGACCCTGGATGCCCATTGGCCACTTCACCAGTATCCAAGGGATGGTACCAAAATGGACCCTGACTGTCCATTGGCTGGTTCCCCAGTATCCAAGCGAGATCTGCCTGGCACACCTTATTTGGGAGAGTAAGTACTTGCCGTGTTCTTGATTGTAACAAATTTGCTTGCTAGCTAGGGATCTCCTGGAGCTTTTGAAACAGCTCAGCTCCTGCAGCAGCTCAGCTGTTGCATCAAGTTGTTTTAGCTCCACACTCAATGGCACAGCAGACTCTACCTTTAATCAGTCCGTTACAGTAGGTCACAGCCAAACCGATGGTTTGAATAGTCCAATTAAATATGAAGTTCCCCATCTTGTTTTCTAATATTTTTTTTACCACCAGATTTTCAAGGACCTAATGTCCTGTACTGATCTGGCACCTTGTCTGTAGCTCAGCTGATCCTTGCAGAATTTTGATGTATTCTTTGGGGATTTCAATTGCCAACAAGTCTCCTTCCTCAAACACAACATCAGTTGTTATTGTTTGCATTAGAATAAGGTTCCTCCTTCTTACACCAAAGCACTCAGGAGTGGATTCTCTATTCCTTTTCCTTCCCATGGAACTCTGAAGGATGTTTCCAGATGACTTCTATCAAGGTGCTCACTGCTTTAGCTTCAACAGTTGCTGACTGATATTTCCATTCAGCACATCCGTCTCAAGAACCTTCACTTCAGTAACCCCTTATGTAGGCCCCAGATTTGATTTAGACACTATCTGCCTTGGATCACCTCCTTGTCTTTTAGATGTCTTAACATATCTTCTAGGAGGATCTGCTCCATGACCTTCCCAGGCATCAAAGTTCTACATCTGCCTATAAATGCCCTCTTCCAACTCTGCCCACCATAATGATCCTAAAAGCTCTCAATTCCAATTAATTTCTTCCTTTCCATCACTATTCTTCTTTCATTCTTTCTCCTTTAAAATATTGTGATTATTATTATTTTTATTTTTAGCAGTCCAAGTGATTGCTGTAGAGCTGTGCTCAACTCCAAAGTTGCTAATGGTATTTAGGGGCTTCTCATAAGTGCACATAATTATCAAACAGGGGGAAAAGCCCACAGTCAGAGCAGGAGCCAGGGGAGTCCTGGAGGCCTCTCATGATTTCAGAACCTAAGTCCAACTATCAATTTGCCTTTTTCAACCACTAAACTCAATTAGTTACTAAACTCAATACAAGGTTTAGAGTGAGTGATTCTTGAAATACAGGGTAATTTTCATTTCTGTTCTTACAAAGGATGAAACTATCCACAAACTATCAACAAAATTACATGTAAAATCTTAATCAAATTCTTTTTGATGCAGAATTTCTGTGGCCTGAGTGAATCTGCAAAGTTTTGCCTTTGTCCCAGGTTTTTTAGTACATTTTATAGTCCCCTCATCCCATGTCTTCAACCTAACCATTTGTCATCACATCTCTGATGAATGGATTTCAGTCTTGATCAAGTTTTATTCCTCAAGAAAAAGTAACTTCTTTAACATTGGAATGATTTCCTTATTCCTCTGCAGAAGCTTTTACAGTAAGATTTAATCTGCCTATCAGGCAAATTAATTCAAATACATAGAACTTAACACATCTTAATTTTTTCAGCCATGTCTGACAGCATAAAAAATCTGGATGCAGATTTCCCCCCAGAACAGATACTTAGTCAAAACCAAGGGTAAAGACGAATTCCTGGTGTTCTCCGTGTTCCATGGAGATTGTGGCAGAGAAACACTGACCAGCTGTAAACAATCCTATAGCATATCATCTGCTGCTGAGAAAGAGTCTTAGGACCTGGATATAAAATTAAGTGTTATTATGTCCCTAAGTGCCACTCACTTCAGCATCAGGATTAAATAACAAAAAGTTCTTTAGAGAGTACTTAAACTTTAAAGCAGAACACTATTAAGAGGACTTGGTGGAGAAAAATTCTTTTAAAAAAGTTTGACTGGTGAAAAATCCTATTTGAAATATTCCCAAACTCTGTGCAGAGAAAATGGGCATTAATAAAGGGGGATTTATGTCATATTTTTGGATATACATTCATTTGTATTCTTTTTTTCTTTCTTTCTTAAGGAAACAACTTTTTAATTGGTGCAACATCCTGTAAACTTTACTATTGTTTTCATTAGGCAAGACACCGATTGAGTAAAAATATAATGATTTTCTTGAAATGTAACCTTTCTTTTAGTTTGTGACCTCTACTGTTAATGCTAAAAAAACAATGGATCCACTTTGAATCCTTGAACAAACAAGCCTAATCATTTTGGTTATTATTTTCAATAACTTAAGAGGATATTTATAATTTCTTACTCTGCTCTAATTCTATTATTTGACTGTAATCTACAGATTTCAGAGCATTACAATGACAAAATCTACACAATACCCTGTCAAGGAAAGAGGAGGGACAGAACATTCAGGAACAGTATTCAGGATCAGAAATGGTATTCAAGGCTGACAAGATGAAAGACATTTTAAATTCAGGATTCCCCAGTGATCTACCAAAATATCTGCTAAGTTTTGTTGTGAGACCCTTCAAGGTCTTAGCACTTTCTCACCTGCAAACCTGGAGGTGAAAATGAAGTAAAAAAAAAAGACCCAGTAATGGCAAAGTCCTTTGAATAACTACAAGAATCAGGAATTATTATTCTTGGTTTAGTACCATCTGCTTCTGCTCAATGATCATTAACACGAGGAATTCAGACAAACAACATTTTCCTGACCTGTCTGCTGTGGACAGGAGAGCTTGAGAGCTGGCTGGGGCAGATCCTCTTCGTTCAGTTTGCTTGGTTTTCACCACATATTTCCCAAAAGAGACGCTCACCTGGAGACGTGAAACCCTGACTCTCTGTCAAAAAGGATTTGGAGTGAAACCCTTCCTACTTTATTGTTTGCTTCGTCTGAAGTAATGAGAACAGAACGTAAAAGAAAACAGATCAAGCAGCAAAAGTCTTTCCATGAAGTAACCTTTTTCTTGTAATCATTGACACCCTTGTTAATTGTGCATAATTTGCACCTTAACCTGAAGCACTTTGGATCTTCTTTTACCTCCACTTTAACCATTCAAGTAGAACAGAAATTTATCAGTGTCTTTCTCTTTCCACTCAGAAAGAATTTGGAAATATTACAGTGAAGATATATTCTTTGAAGATAATGTATCAATGCTCTGCTGGTACCCACTACTGGACAAAGCAGGACAAAGACTATTTTATTATTTTCTCTTTTATTTATATGTATCAAAGTATTGTAGTTACACTTTTTAAATAAAAACAATCCTTTGTAGGCTCCTGGGTGTGTCCTTTCTCTCTCCCATTCCATACTCTTAATTATTTGCAACTTCTGTCTTCTGAAAATTTTTAGGTCAATGGCAAAAGACGTTCCAATACCACACATCCTCAAACCATATGAGTGTTTTCTCCTTTTTCTTCCATAGCTTGTTTTTTCTAGATGTTCTCCTAGTTCTCTGGGTCATGACCACATGCCAAATTTGATGTGTTATGGCTGGTACCAGTGATGGAACACTTCTCTCCTCGTTTTCCAGATCACTCTTGCCCTTGTCATTCTCTCCCCCACTCTCTGTTCCTTAGGACCTTTCTCTGGATTTTCCCACTAACCGTCTTTGGCAGATCCTGAACAAACTCCACCTGAAAGGCAAAAATATATTCAGGCTAATTTCCCAGATGAAGGAAAGATACATTTTACTAAGAGTGGGGGTAAAAAGATGGGAAGCTGCACAGCGAGGGCTGGGATGATGGAATTCTGACTGAATGTCTTGCCCATTTGTGCTGGTGGGAAAACTCTGGTATTCCATGAAAGGAAAAGTGGACCCTGATGAAGTAAAACCACAGGAGCATTGCCTCCCTTTGGGTTCTTTTCAGCACACACAGTGAACACAAAGTTACAGCTGCAACACAGCCTGTCATCTACTCTGATTTTATTTAGCTGTTGTTGGAGTGTTTGTCAGAGTGCAGCTGAAAAGGAGCTGAGGCAGGACAAAAAAGGCTCAGTTTCTGGTACAATTAGCAGACCTGTCTTTTGGGGCTGTACTTACCTTCCTTGGATACTTGTAAGGTGCAGTCACTTTCTTGACATGCTGTTGAAGCTCTTGAGTTAATTTTTCTGGATCGTGTGATGCAAAAGCAGGAGTTAAAACAATGAAGGCTTTGACTACCTGTGTCACAAAAATTAAGGGATTCCATTAACTTTCAGAGGTGGGAATAAAGAGATACATTTCTTGTGTAAAGTGAGTGTCTAAATTCAGAATGCAAAAATTCAAGCTTTTTCTTTAATTTCCCTTTCATTGTCTCTTTATGACAGAATGGTGTGTTATGAAGGCTGCATTCTGCAACAGAGGATTTTTGTCAATTTTTCCACTTTTTTCCCCCTCAATTTTATATCCTATTAAAGCTGAAGATCTCATCCCAGTTGCTCAAAGAAATGTTGCAACATTGAAAAACATAAAATAAAAATTAAACACACTGGATATCATGGCTACGATGCACTTAGTGACAAAAAGAGGAATATATAAAGTCCATATCTTATGCAAAAGGATGCCACAGTAAGTCTGAAAAGCCAAACATCTTTTTTCCCACATCAAATCCCACAAACAGAGAAATAATTCTGAAATTCTAAGCCTGGTCAAGATAACGGATTTAAGAAATTGTTAGCCCATTTCATTTGAAAAACCTGCAATATACTGAATTCCAAGGAAGCCTAGGACATATAGGCAACTTGATGCTTAAAGAGCACTTATTTCCACATCTTTTTTCTTTTCCTTTTTACCTCCCCTCGATCTGGATCAGGACTGCTGACAACAGCTGACTCTGCCACTGCTGGGTGTT